ACTTCCCTAATATAAACATACATAAACTAAACTAATCGTTTGAAAATTTTTATAATACCACAAAGGATCCACATCAGTAATCAAATCAATGTTAATTTCATTTGCCATCGAAATACACATATACAATGTTCATTTTAAACCACTATTGAGTGACCTGATAATAAAAGAGCAAAAAAAAATTATATGAACTGTTAAGTTCGAATCCCTCCAAACACTAATAGGGGTGGTCATTGTGGCTCTTACCTGATCAACAATTCCAGGATTTCAAGAGATTAGTAGAGGTTGGACACCCCCGATGAACCAAAAAAAAAAAAAAAGTTCATTTTAACATATTTAACAACCTTAGTAGTTTAGTAATTCTTCTTTTGGAATTATAACACCACATTTATCATTATTGTTGTTCTAGTAAACTGTAGTTTGTTGTGATGTATGGTACTCATTGGCACACAAGACAAAGAATAATAACAAAAAGTTAGAAGTGATTTATATATATAATTAAACAAGTGCTTAAACAGTTGCTATGTTGGAGTTGTTATGATAATATATAGAATGTTTATTGATTTGGAGAGTCATGGGTGAACTAAATAAACATTATCCTAGGACTTAACTTGGCAAAGGGGAATGAATATGCCCACATAAAACCAGCTATAAACTCTTAGAAACACAACATCACAGCTAATACTTTTAACTACTTAATGTATATATGTAAATGTATATGTGGAAGTATATATATGTATATACTTTGTGTTTTTGTAGCCAGAAAACACTTTTTATTTATAATAATCTAGATTAGTGGTCATCGATTGACAACCACAAACGTTACGACACTTGGAAGTTCCCCATTCATCAGCCGCATACCCTATTCACATGTTCCTTTCATTCACCTAACTAATGTCTTAGAATCCGGTGCTTTTTGCTATTAAAAAAACCATTACATTTGTCACATCTAAGTGATGATTAAATTAATGAATAGATGATGATGTTGTTACCAATAACAATAACAATTAACAACAATGATAATCATGTGTAGTTAATAAATATGCATATGTTTAAGCATAAAGTGCAAGAGTCGGTTTTAATAAATTGATGAAATGAGTTTTACTTGTATTGGTGGAACTCATGATGGTGGTCTCAAGGAAATAGGTAAGTACAACTTGGTTTTCGGAGGAAAGGATAAGATTTTGTATTCTATCTTCCAAGAGGGTTTGCTGTCTGCCTACGTATATCCTATTTAAGAATGGATATATATGGTGGAGTAGTCATTAATTTATTAATTCACTACTTAAATTAATTTTAACATAGATTACTCCAAAAACACCTATCTCCATTGCTTATCTAAATCACCTCCTGGATTTAGTTACTTAAAATGCCACTACATTTTATTCCTTTTCTTTTTCTGAGAAAAATGGTTACGGAAAGGGGTTGACCCATACCCCACAAGAAACATTGCGCCTATTTTGCCAAGCTCACTTGATAATCAAGAATATGATTAATTCTACAAAATACTTAATAGGGAATATTAGGGTATTGGGCTCTCTCTATCAAAACAATGATAAAACGAAGAGGATGAGGACGATGAAAGTGGTCACAGATATACATGATAGAGATTCTAATATAAAGATAGATTCTTTAGCTAGGCAAACTCTTGTGTTGAGCCAGAAAGAAAGAAAAAAAAAAAAAGAAAGAGTAAGTGGTGTAAAAGAAAAGAAGGAATAAATTGTCCGAGAAGGATTCCACTTTGATGCAGTTGTTTTCATGCTTTTTTTTTTTTTTTTACACACTTGTATGTTTTTTTCTTATCTAACTTTTATGTGGGTCACGTTAGAATGTCATTATCTTTGCCCTATTTTAAGAGAAGATTACACTAACAAGTTTAAAGGGCGTTTGTCATTAAAGGATGAACTTCCTGGTGAAAATTGATAAAGAAACACTTAAAGATATGGGAAAAGCACAAAAATAAAGACAGAAAAAGGAAGTTGTTTAGTCAAATGCTAGGGGTAGTTGCACCAGCCTTAAACCTCTTTGCTTTTTTTGTTTTCAGAGTCAGCTAAAAGAGCATTTCTTTATTTAGTTTTTTAATTAATTACTGTAATGAATCTTTAACCTAACGACTCTTAATGTATGAGCTTATATCTAAACAAATTAATGAATGTGATTAAACAGATAAATCTCTCGAGATTATTCAAAGTTCGAGTGAAAGATAAATCAGGAGAAAATTTTAATTCGAGATAGATGTTGAATAAGTAGTGGCCAAGACGATGACTAAGGCATCATCTTAGAAATTGTCAAGGGACAAACTCCTTTCTTCATCTTTCTCTTTCTCTTTTTCTATGCATGATGGATGAGACAAAATATGTAGAATATTCACGCCATTATAAAAATTAAAAGCCACTAGATCTAATGCTTATGCAATGTACAAACAAGTTGTTATATTCACTGTTAAATTATTGTACCTTTTCTTGCGTCAGTTATATGTCTCCATAGACTACAGTACTCTCAACCAAAAAAAAATTAAACCTACTTCTTGAGTTGGCAAGGCAATCCTACCCATATGAACCCTAGAGTTTGATATTAATTACACGTTTATATATGTTTTTCTGTTTAAGTCTCACACGTATTACCATTGATCACCACTACTTGAATATAAATTATAACATACATAACAAATTTGCGGACGGAAGAAGGAAAAGAAACGATAAGTCTTAGAGGAGTTATAGAATAAAATAAAGAGTCATTCTATAATATATATATATCGGAAAATGATATACAATAAACATATATTCTGTGAAATAATTAAAATGACCATAGAATTAGAATATTGTTTTGTGAAAAAACTGGCCAACAAGGCAATTCTTTATCTCTATGTAAAATACTTTTTTTCTTTTGAAGCCTGATAAAACATGGAAATAGGAGAGAAATTAGAAGATTGATGATAATTTGGTACTCATAGTCGATGAATGATTTTGTCATCCACTGTTTGGTCATGTCAGTTCCACATGTCTGATCCTTCTCTTGTCCAAAACAAAAGAAATAGTAACAGTGATGTGTTGAAAGATGCATACAAATTATTCTTTTTTGTTTTATTGTCTTGGGGTCCAGAAAAGAGTTTATGAACGAAATAGAGATAGTAATGAGAACAAAATAACAGCAAAATAAATCATAGATAGTAAATAAAGAGAAAATAACACGTGTAATTTATCCTGATTCACCCAATATGGGCTATGTCCAACCGAGTCAATATTATTACAATATTTCCCCACCTCTCTCATTTACAATGAATGAATTGTCCTATGATTTGTTATTACACTCATAACAAGAGAAAAATATGTTTATATATTAGGTTTAAAGTGACAAAACCTAGTTTTATAAGGATTCATATTCTTAAGCCCAACCTAATAAGAAATTAATAATTTAAAGAAATCCTTCAATGATTATATATGGAAAATGCCCAAACCGCCTACAGGCCCAAGGGTACTGCCCCCACGACCCTCGCTCACTCTCCAGAGAGCGAGGCCGCCGTCCGCTGATCAGACAACGGGACCCCTGAATGTGTTTGCGTAACCCATTAATGCTGAAGTAGTCGACAGCAAGGCCTCATGCCTCTGCAGTTTAATCACTAAATATTTAAGAAATAGTCACATAGGTTAGGCTACCCATGTGCTTGTTTTTATAAAATGTTCTTGTAAAACAAAAACAGATGACAAACCAACTGCACTATTGGAAGAACTTGGTCATATAATAAATTAACCCAACCCTCCAAAAGGTATGCTCATGGGAATCTCTCTCTCTCTCTCTTTGATCTATTTTTCCTGTCTTAGAAATGGCTATGGCAGGTGTCAATGGCTGAATTAGATTGCTTAAAACCACTGCAAACCTCCAAATGGGAGTTCTAATCATTTAGCCTCAAGTTTTTTGAGGTGGGAGAAGATGGCCCATACAATTACAAACTGTCCCTACTTCATACACTTTTTTTTTCCTTGCTAATTAATTAGATGAATATGAGGTGCATGCCCAAGTGTCTCCAAACCCTTCTCAAAAGACAAAGTAGTGATGCCCGTCCCCAGGAAAGCTGAAGTATTATTCATATATATATGTTTATAATACTTTAGATCTATAGAAAGACACCCATTATATGCTCTTCTTCTCAAAAAATTATTAATTTATTTATATATAAGTTTATTGGTGTACTAAGGCTTGTTCAAATTAATGTTATCATTATGTTATTGATAATATTATTAATGTTCAACTAATTACACACTTATATAGGGTTCTCATCTGACTACCTGTAATTATCAGACCCAATTATGGATTAGGTCGGCCACCTCAATATTGGAATAAATTAGACCATTCAATTTCCAGACACTTGTTTATAATTATCTGTTTTTTGTTTCTTAATAAATACACTAAAGAGAATGTTATACATATATGACATGGTTCTAGAAATTATCATATTAATTATAAACAAATTGGGAAAGTAGAAAAAGGAGAATAAAACATGTGGGTGTTGGAAAAAATCACATGACCATGGACCAAAAAGAGTTCCTAATTAGGAAGATTCCTGATTAAAAAGAACATAAAATCTGACTAATTAAAACTTATTCACAGTTAAATTCCTGTCATTAAAGGTTTCTCGATATCAAAACTCTTCTTTAAAAATCCTAAAATAAATTAAATAATATGACGAGACCAGGGCAGTAGTGTCACGAAAGCAAAGTTTCTTGAGGTTCTAATGGATGGTAGAATATCTAAAGAACCAAAGGTGACAGGTAAGCCAAGCTAAATGAGCTGTCATGTTCTAATTGGCTGACGAAAAAACAGTGCGAATGGGAAGCACGAATGCTAAATGGAAGGTGGTGAGTGGTGACCTTATTCTTTAGAATTACAAGTAGATCTGAGTCAGACGATCATTTTTGCTTTAGCAAATTAAAGTCGGTTCCTCTAATTTTTCTATTAAGTCTTGGCATTTACTTCTGAGGCTTGGGCGGAGGTGTGCTTTAGCATTACTATATATTACATACTGCCTTGATTTCCATCATTTCTATCTCTCTCTCTCTCTATTCATTATTCTTTTGTTTTAACCCAACAAAAGAAATTAAATACATCAGTATGGAAGATCAGTTTCCGAAAATGGAAAACTTCATGCACAAGGAATTGCCATCTTATTTTCATGGTATGGTGCCATCAGGATCGAAGTTTTTTGGCGATTCAATCTTCTGGGGTGCCTTAAATGACACTGGTTGTGGTGATGACACTGGCTGTGGCAATAACATGAAGTCTTCATCTTCCTCACCTGATAGATTGTTTTCGAGTTCCGAGTCTAGTTCATCGGCTGAAGAAGTTTCTGGTGCCAGTTTGCTTAGTAACATTCCTGGATTTATTAAACAGGATGTTATTAGAGAAAAGTTTGTTTCGGGATTGAGTTGTTTTCATCCACACCGCGGCGCTTCGGTTTCTGATGTTAAAGATAGTTTTATTCCTGTAAATTTCTTGGAGTCTTTTCCAGAACTAACTCAAGCTCAAGTTTCTGAACCGCCTTCTCCGTCTTCATTATCCACCACATCGAAATTCCCAAATTTAACTTTGTTTTTGCAGGAACCTCCCATGTTAAATCCTGCCACACAAATGGCTAATTCACTTGGCAAAAACCAAGAGAATCATGAAATTATGTCATTGTCTCCAAACCCTTCATTTCATTTGCCGCAACCTGGTCATCTTCAGTGTCAACCAGGCAACGAATGGCTCAAAATCGATCGAAGTTTGGCAAATTATTCATCTAAAGGCTTCAGTGATTACTGGCTCAGTACTACTAAAACACAACCGATGAAATACAGTGGAAGAAAACTGCAAAACCAGCATCACAAGGGTTCAAATTTCTCATCAGTTTCATCACCCGGAAAGCTTTATAGAGGAGTAAGGCAAAGGCACTGGGGCAAATGGGTTGCAGAGATAAGGCTTCCAAGAAATAGAACAAGGGTTTGGTTGGGGACTTTCGACACGGCGGAAGAAGCCGCTATAGCTTATGACACAGCCGCATATTTGCTACGCGGAGAATATGCACATTTGAATTTTCCAGAACGCAAGCATCAATTAAAGATCAGTTCTTTGAATGGAACAACGGCGGCTCTTCTTGAAGCGAAGTTGCAGGCAATATCCCAAGACATTTCTTCAAATAAAAAGTCTAATGAACACCAGCAACCATCGACTTCGCCAAAGAAGAATCCATCCGCTCAGAATGCAAAAGTACTAAAAAATTTGCTCCAAAACACACAAACTACAACAACAAATTGGCAGTTTGAGTTGGAGAGTCAAGGTGGATCTGAAATGACTGAAAATACCAAGAAAATTCAAGAGGTTTCATCGGAGATGGACACTGTTCAGTTAAGTAGAATGCCCTCGTTGGACATGGATATGATTTGGGATGCTCTTTTGGTCTCTGATTCATGACATTTTTTTTTTTTTTCTTTCTTTGAAATCAAACTTCATGAGGGGATTATGTTAATTTCTTCAATAGGGAGCCCATTAGTTTGGTTTTTCTTTTTTAATTACTGGTCATATTATAGGACAAGCTATATGCACCTTCATCAATGGTGGATTTAATTAGCTTAAGTGATGAAGTACTTTAAGCAATTTCTTTCCATTTAATTTCCTTTGTGCAGTTTCTAATAGATTTTACAATTATTATTATGCTTTGAGTTTATAATTATATAATACAATAGAAAATTGGAAGAAGAAGAAGAATACACATAATTGTTGTAGTTAGTAGCTGCCAAATTTAGAATGTGGAAGGTGGGTTGATTGATGCTCCTCTTCTAAAGTCAAAAGATTTATATTTATATTTATATATTTTATATTATAAAATATGGAAAGAAATTGAGTCATAATGGGACCATTTTGAATTGGTATTTGTATTTTAAATGGGCTTTTTTGGGTGTCATTTGGTGTATTATGACATTTTTTTATCATAAAAACAATATTTATTTCCGGTTCTTTTGGTGTAGATGTAGTAGCTATTATGTCATCTCCCTCATACTTGTTTGTATGTGGCATGAAAGAGGAAGCTAATTTTTAATTGATTTTAGTCTTACTTTTTAAACCAATTTGAAGGCATGTTATTCTAATTAAGATTCTATCAATAGACCAATCGCAACAAAATTTAATGATTCTAATTTTAATATTGTTGATGCAAGATTTACACAAACTATAGTGATCCGATTGACTTTGGTAGAATCGAAACCGATGTATGCGTGACTAATTAAAATCAGCAATGTAATGAATTTAAATGCAGAGAAAGTAAAGAACACAATCAATTTTTAAAGTGGTTCGGCAAGTTTTAATCTTGAGCCTACGTCCACTATATTTATTATTGCTTAGAGAGCTTACAAGAAATGTTATGATACCTAGAACAATTTGCTAACCTCTCTCCCATTGTTGGAGGGGGTTTATATATAAGTTTCTTACAAAAGAAAGAGCGAAATTAAAGGACTTACAATCAAAATAAAAGTGCAATTCCGATATTCTCGTGATTGAACGCTAAGATCACGTTATTATTACTATTGATCTGATCTCTTCGGAAATATCTGGGATCTGAGCTTATTTGTGATCTGCTCGAACAATTGTTAGGGTTGGTCACAACTAGCTTATGTTGGGTCGAGCTATATCTCGACGAGCTTATGCTAGGTCGGACAAGTGTTGAGCCGAACTGATTCTGGATCGAACTATAACCTCACGGAACTCTGACTTCTCCGAGCTTAATAGAAAAATCACACACAAGAAATATAATTCTTGTTTTTTTCAAAATAAGAAATTAATACTAGACACTTTGAGAAACATATTTAATGAAAATATTTTGAAAAAAAAAAAAAAAGGCTTTTGGATACAATCCTTTTTTTTTTTTTTTTATTACTTCAAATTTTGAGAAAAAATTAAATGAATTTCGTTATTATTTCCACAGCTTTTTTTTTTTTTAACTATGAAATCTGTTTTTTTACCTTGTAGCAAATATATTTTTTATTATAAAATTACTGAGAATATCATTCAGATATTTGAAATTAATTAAATATTTTTTTAAATGCTTACTTAACAGCTTCTAAACCATAAAATTACATTGGAAAATATCAAAAACAAAATCACAAATTTAAGTTAAAATGTTGTTATATTAACCCCAATATGAAACTAAAAAAAAAAATTAAAAAAAAAATGCATTTATCTAGACACTTTAGTTAAAAATTTAAAAGTTAATTTTTTTTTTTATGTCACCCACGGGTGGCTCCCTTAGAGCATCTGAATGATGCTCTTTATTTTAAAAAGCATCTTTCATATAAATAAAAAACATCTTCATTGATTTTTAAATATAAAGAACAAAATTTTTATTCAAATCCAATAGACTTTTTAAATTTTAAGAGGGAGAGAGAATATGTTTTTTCAAGAAGAAAACTTAATATGAGAGATAAATCATAAATAAAATGCATAGAAACTTGCAATTTATTATTTAAAATTAGGATAGAGAGTGAAATTTGACTCTTCACATCTAGAAAGTCAAATTTCACTCTCTGTCCTAATTTTAAATAATAAATTACAAGTTTTTATGTATTTTGTTTATTATTTATCTATTCTATTAAGTTTCTTTATTAAAAAAACATATTCTCTCTCTTAAAATTTAAAGAGTCTATTGGATTTGAATAAAAATTGTGTTCTTTATATTTAAAAATTAATGAAAATGCTCTTTATTTATATGAAATATACTCTTTATTTTAAAAAGCACCATTAGAGATGCTCTTAGGCTTCAACCTTGGTCAAATTTATAGAAAAACAATTTTAATTTACTATAGTTTGTAATTTATTATATATAATTTTAATTATATTGAAAATATCTTATAGTTATAATATGTTGTTAATAAAGCATAAATATCAATCTATCTTTAAAACTCACACACAGAATCAAACAAGAACAAATCAAACACGATTTTACTGTGGTTCACTTGTTCAAGATTGAACAAGCTACGTCCACGTTGAGCTCCAGAATACTGAGGCTCGCTGCACTAGGATTATCAAGAGTTTACAAAGTACAAACACACTTGAACAATAGCAAAAACCCCTCGTTACAGATCGATCACTCAATACAACCACCACAACCCTTTATAAAAGATGGAATACATGGAGAATGATGCATGTGATACTACAACATGTATATTCAGATTTTGCAAAAAAAATTCAATCAAATTGAAAACAAGTAAGGTATAACTTGTTACCTCAAGTCCTTAGCAACCTTAGAGACTTTTAATTTCAAGAGAAATTAAACAAAATAGTATACATACTAAGGTAAAAGAAGAATTAGGCCAAGAGAGATATTTAGGGTTCTTAGAAATTTTGATCTCTACCCTAAAATTGATATATCATTTTCTTTATTTATGTAGCCTTATAAATAATTCAATAATTGTTTTGGACTTCCTTAAACAATTCCATAATTGTTTTTGGGGTTGTAAATAATTTCATAATTATTATGAAGTTGTTAAACTTCTTTAAATAAGAACATTGGATTAACATTTAATCAAAATTAATAATTTAACTCTTAAATTATTTATATAACAATTTAACCCTTAAATTGTTCATATGTTTACAATTACAACCCATTACTAAATCTAATTTAATATAAAGAAAATGATTAATTATGAATTGGAATTCCATTTAATTCCAATTCGCAATTTGACTCTTAAATTATTCATAATAACTAATATAATCCTCCATTGAATCTAATTCAATGATAATAATATAAATAACTTTATTACCCTTGGTAGGTGCTAGCCAACCTTGGATAATCAACTCTCTTTAGTTATTTCTTCATTCTCCTTAGTTTTTATGTGTGACCTCTTAGGTTCACTGTGGCCTAGCCGTGGGTCCAACATCATAGTCTATTTCGATATGTTTTGTCATAAATCTTTATGAACAAAACTCCCACCGATTATGGTAGACATTTAGCAATACTTCATAACCTCTAAGTCACAATGAAGATATACTCCAACGAACCCTTTTATAATCATACGCATTGTATAATCAAATCTTTCCGTTGTCTAATCCCAATTAAGAATGGATTCATGGTATGTCAAAATCCTTATCTTAATTTTATATCAAATTGACAATCAATACATATGGAACGTGTCACTATGAAACAACCTTTCAAGTAACATTTTATATACCCCGGCTGGAGATTTCCATTTTCCAATTTATCTTGACATTTGTTTAGGAACTTGATATCAATCTATACCAAGTCAACAGATCCCATCTTGACTATAACTTGTCCTCACACATAAACAACACATGGCCAAATCAACTTATTAACACATGACATGATTGGCCTTGTGTTTATACACCATATAAACCATATGTGTTTAGGCAGAATCCAACCATGATATCTTAGGTCTAAGGATTAATAATACACTAGTACGATCTTATGATAAATCATTGACTACATTTTAAATGTCCATGTGATTCATCATAAATGGTCATATTCGATAAACAGTTCACTAACCACTTATCCATGCTAATGCCCTAATGATATAACTTTTATAATCACCCACACTAATATCATCACATAATATTTTACGGAGGCATTCAGCATGCCTACTATGTAATATATTGCCTAATTAATATTACCTATGTAGAAAATACTTTGATGATTTTGATCTTCTAAAGATTTGTATCATCCGGACATTTTACATGTAATACATATATATAAATGAAGCAATAAACCACATATGAAATAAGAACACTTTCTTCTATTAATAAGATAAAATGTATATACAAAATATATATATTAACATATATATACAAAACATAATGTCTTGGAACCGACAACACGATTGGTTCCTAAGCATACACTAACACTTTAGTCCTAAGAAAAACCTATCCTAGCTTTTCTACCCTTGAAGGAAACACAACCTTCTACCTGCGAATTAACAGATCGCACCAAGGATTACAAGATTTGAGAGTGAACCGAAGAACCCTAGAAGAGAAAGCTTTTTTTTCTTGATCACGAAAGAGAGAGTTGTTGTTTGAAAGGTGAATAATCCCACGTTTATATATCGTTGACTGTTAGGTGAAGTCTCAGCCGTTGGATCAATCACAAATTGATGGTCAGGATAGCAAATAATAAAAGAACAAAACAATAGCGTTTAATGGCTTCACAATTAATAATCTCCACCTTGAAGCCAGCAAAATCCCTTCTGAGCAGTATTATAATAATGAAGCAAACATCTCAAGTATTCCTTCTCAACTCTAATTGATTACCTTATATGTGACAAGTCCAGGCAGTGCTTGAACTTTGCAGCAGTCACAATCTTTGTTCCTATATCGGCTGGATTCTCTTCAGTTTGCACCTTTTTCAAATCCAATATTCCTCTTGAGATAAGATTTTTGACAAAATGGTACCTGACATCTACGTGCTTGGTTCTCTCATGGTACACTGGATTCTTACTGAGGCGGATGGCACTTTGACTATCAAAATATACAGTCACAATGCCCTCCATTAGTTTGGCTTCTTTCAAGAACCCTCGAAGCCATATTGCTTCCTTGAATGCATCCGTGACAGCCACGTATTCAGCCTTGGTTGTAGACAATGCAACCAACAGTTGTAATTGAGAT